AAAAAAAAAAATTTATTTTACCATAACTTTTAGCTCAATTGGTAAGTTTGACATTGACATAATTAAATAGAAAATTTTATGACAATTAAAAAAATTGTATCGTTAAGATCAATATGCAGTCAGAAAGTTTTATAATTACTATTTATTGTAAATTTATCAGAAAAGCTCAATATTTTTTTGCATTTTTATGGTAATAGATAACTTAAATAGAAGTAATAGTAATAATTTCCTAGGAACTTTTGTTGTTTGTTGAAAAGATTCTATAATTAAAATATTGAGAACTTAATTAATTTTAAACTTATACTTANTGAAATATTGAGAACTTAATTAATTTTAATGATTTACTTTAACTAAATGTACCAATCAAAACAAAGTTGTTAAAAAGATTTACTCAATTGAGTGTATTATAAAATTTGATTATATTTGTAAAAATCAATTGTTAATTCAGGAGAAAAACAATCATTTTTTTTAGAAATGATTTATGACATGTTACAAAAAAAAATTGTAATATTATAGTCTAGTAGTACACAAATAGAGTAAAAAAATTATTAAATTACAAAGTAAAATGATTTTGATTTTTAATTTAAAAAAATTTTTATTTGAAACCTATCATATCAAATTGTCATATCAACCTTGATTCGTCAATAAATATTTTTAAAATATTAGAAATGAATGATTTTAATTGTCTGTATGGAGACGATGTAATAACTAACTGTTTAATTGATAAATTAGAATTTTTTTTTCAATTTTTGAGAGTAATATCTTCAACTAGATACGAATTGTAGTCATTGGACGTATCGTTGAAAAAAGTAGGTCAAGTTAGAGCAGAGAAAATAAATGATATTCACAAAAAAACATCTTCTCGGCTTTGCATCGAAGCTAAAACTTAAAATATAGTAAAATAATTTTAATACGAATAAGAAATTTCTTCTTGCAAGGGGCGACTAAAGTGATGGGATCATTGATCTTTATTGAAGTTATTGAATCTAAATGAGTTAAAAATTTATACTAATTTAAAAAGAATTAAGAAAAAATGCAAAAAATTTATTCTCTTACGCGGGTTGGAACCTCGTACCCCAAGCGTGTAAAACACAAGTTTTACCAACTCGGCAATCGTACTTTGCTACCTACAATTGAAAAAATTAGGTATTTAAGCTAGTTCAAATTTCAAAGATATTTTTCTCGACTTAAAAGAAGCAAACAAATTTAAATAAGTTTAACTTTCTATGCTATATTAATTTTAATTTATATAATATTTATGAAAATCTGTACTCCCCTAGTCAGGTATTTTAAAATAAAATAAAATACAAAACCCAGAATTTTAACACAAAAAAATAGCAAATTTTTGAATACGGTAGTCATTTTCACCATGAAGACAAGTCCAGAGGTCAATTTTTTTTTTTTTCAAATTAAATTATATTACATAAGCTTTAATTTAAGATATATATAAAAGTGTCAGTCTTTCCGGAACATTTTCAAAAGTTAAGTTGAAAAAGTTCTACTTTCTATACGCATTTTAAAAACTTTGCACCCCCCCTGTATAAAGGGAAAATGTCCGATTTAAAAAAAAAGGACGTCGAATGAAAGAGGTTTATATAAAGTATTTATTATTAAAAAATTAAGTTGATTCATGCATTTTTTAAAAAGTTATAGCAACATAATGTTAAAAAATGTAAAATATAATATCAAGAATTTTTTCACAAAAATAGCATATTTTTGCATACGGTAGTCATTTTCACCATGAAGACAAGTCCAGAGGTCAAATTTTTTTTTTTCAAATTAAAGTATATTACATTAGCTTTAATTTAAGGTATATATAAAATTGTCAGTCTTTCCGGAACATTTTCAAAAGTTAAGTTGAAAAAGTTAATTTTTTGTAAAAAAGTTACCATTTTGAAACCCCATCCTTTGGGCTGTTAAAGGGTCAAATGTTCACAAAAATATATAAAATGATAGGTAATTATCTAAGGTATCTATAAAAAAAAAAATTATATTGATTCGGTCATTTTTAAAAAAGTTATGGCAATTTTAAGTAAAAAAAATTGAAAAAATATCGAAAATTAGCGATTTTTAAATTTGTAATTTTTTGGGGGATTTCCCCCGTTTACGAGGAACGAGGGAATTTTTTTTCAATTTTTAGGGTAATGTCTTCGACTAGATACGATTTGTGATCTTTTGACATATTGTTCATCAAAATCGGT